ATAGCAACCTGTCAGAACTCAACCTCAGGTGAAAGGAAATTTATTACCCTTAATATTAATGGGCATTCGTTCAGATTGCAAATCAACACTGTATCTGATGTGACAGTTCTCTCACGAAATTCTTGAATCAGAATGGGCAGACTACGCACGGTGCCAACAACACAAAAACCTCGTACTGCATGCGGTAATCACCTACGTTCGTTGGACAACTAGATTGTAAAGTGTCTTTTCACGATTCAACGTTTACCGGGGTTTGTTATATAACGCCAGCTGATCTAAATTTACGTGGCTTAGATTGGTTCGACCAGCTAAAATTATCTGATGTCTCGTTAAATACTATATGTCACCTGGTATCACATCCACATGACCCTGAAGTATATACGAGGAAGCTAGTGATACAGTTTTCATCTATTTTCCAACACGGATTGGGCCAGTGTTCTGCCATCAAAGGAACGCTTCGGTTGAAACCTGGGGCTAAGCCTGTTTTCCGCCCAAAATGACCCGTGCCTTACGCAACATTACCAACAGTAGATGAAGAATTGTATCACCTTCAACAACAAGGAGTCATTACCCTCCGTTTCTTACTCTGCTTGGGCAGCACCTATAGTTGTTATCAGGAAGGCCAACGGCACGATACGTATATGTGCTGACTTTTCTACAGGTCTCAATGCAGCTCTGGAACAACATCATTATCTTTTGCCAGTTCCCGCAGATCTGTTTACTCTGCTGAATGGGTAGAAGCTTTTCGCAAAACTGGGTCTAGCTGATGCTTACTTGCAAGTGGAAGTAGATGGAGCATCAAGAGAGCTGAATACTATCAATAATCATCGTGGGTTGTTTCAGTATAACCGTTTGCCTTTCGGAGTCAAGACTGCCCCATCTGTCTTCCAGCAACTAATGGATACCATGCTATCAGGTATTTCTGGGGTGGCCGTTTATCTCAATGACATCTTAATTGTTGCGACGACATTAGAACAACTACAGGAACGCACGACATTGGTACTGCAAAGCGTCAGTGACAACGGGTTCCCGTTACGCCCAGAGAAATGCCAGTTTTTATCAAAGCCAGTAAAGTATTCAGGGTTGAATTTTGACGCTGACGGCTGCAGACCGGGTCCTGAGAACATTCGAGCTATCAAACTGATGCCCACCCTCACTAGTATCTCGGCACTACGTTCCTTCATGGGACTTGTTACCCATTATGTAGCGTTCGATCCTTCGATGCATGGTATTCGCGATCCATTGAATCGTCTGCTGAAGAAGAACAGCACATGGAACTGGACTGAAGAGTGTGATGCAGACACTTCAGCGTATGGCCTAGGTGCTGTTATTTCACATCAGTTTCCGGACGCGTCAGAAAAAGCTGTTATGCATACATCCCGTACACTAACTCTGGCAGAAAAGAAATAAAGTAAGATAGAAAAGGAGGCTCTTGCACTTGTGTTTGCTGTTCGACGTTTCCACAAGTTTCTGTACGGTAGAAGATTTACGCTTCTCACGGATCACAAGCCTCTGCTTGCAATATTCGGGTCGAAATCTGGCACTCCAGCCTATTCTGCAAATCGTCTTCAGCGATGGGCCTTGGTACTCTTGGGGTATGATTCCGAGATCCAGTACCGACGCACTCAATAATTCGATCAGGCAGATGCTTTATCACGACCCATTGATGATCAATTGGAAGCTGAGGAAAACATAGTAATCTCATCTCTGTCAGCGGAAGACCACGCGGAATGTTATCTGACAACCGCAATACGGGCATTGCCGTTGTCTGCAACAGATATACGAAACGCTTCCAGGAACGAACCCGTGATCAAGATGGCGATGAGCTATGTCACCAACGATTGGCCGTCTAAGAAGTCTTACAGTGACATGATACAGCTGTATCAGCGTTGTAAACGACTGCTTGATGTTTCGGGAAAATGTGGTCGTGCCAGAACCCCTTCGCGCAAAAGTGCTGAAACAGTTTCACCTTGGTCATCCGGGAGTTAGACGAATGGAATCCATAGCCAGGAGTTATACATACTGGCCCCTAATGGATCAACATAACACTGAGTTGGTTGAAAAATACATTCGGTGTCAACAAGCGGCAAAGGTGAATGTCAAAGTCCCGCCAATTCCATGGACACAACCTGATCATTCTTGGTCCAGGATACACGTCGATTTCGTGGGTTCAATTAATGAAACTATGTATTTAGCTGTGGTCGATGCCTTTTCAAAATGGTCAGAAATCAGCCTTGTAATGCCGCCCACGATAACTAAAACAATACAGCTCCTCACTGAAATTTTCTCCCGAAATGGCATATCAGATGTGATTGTATCTGACAACGGGTCGCAATTTACCTCTAGCCGATTCCAAGGTTTTTGTTAACGGCTAGCCATCAAGCATTTACATTCGCCACCATACCACTCGCAGCCGAATTGGCAAGCAGAAAGGTTTGTGGATACGTTTAAAAGGGCATTGAATAAGTCAAAAGGGGAGGGGACACCAGCCGACGCGTTACAAAATTTCTTGTTCGTTTATTTAACAACACCAAATGAGACGGTACCGGACCAAACGTCCCCAGTAGAAATCCTAATGGGAAGAATACTGAAATCCATCTACAGCCTAATGCATCAACACCAGTACAGGAAAAGCTTAAAAACAATCCGCGTACGAAGTGGGATGTCCTGTGTTTGGCCGTGACTACAGAGCAACCCATGGTCCATGGACAGAAGCGCGAGTGGTCAGAAGAGTAGGTCGTGTCATGTACGAAGTAGAAGTAGGAGGCGATAGATGGTCACGCCATCGGAATCAGATACGCAAAAGGATAGCTTAAGAGCGCTCATCAACAGGAGTAAATTTTCCCCTTGACATCCTGCTTGATACCTTCAAATTACCGGCAGCCCCAACACGAGAAAAGGCTCAACGACAAGTTGATCTCCGATCCAGAAGGCGGCTTCTCCGATAGCGGAGAACAACAGTCAGTCGACCCCAGGGAAGTACGCTATTAAAAAAAGGAGGTGTGTTGGGGACGTTAGGTCACCAGAACTCACTGGGAAAAGGACCTAATTTTGTAATTCTATTTACAAAATTTGAATTTCTTTCTTTTCGTGCCAAAAGCGCTCTTTTCACCTTCATGTCGTATTTCCCACTTGAGAGAATCTTAAATGCTATTGATCCGTTGTGTCTTTTAGTATGCTATTTTGTAACGCTTCTCCAAGACCGTTTTGTACTGTATATTTACGCTTTGATCTATGTCCTTTGTGATCGCTCGTGCTTCTGGCATTGTGCGGAATATACTTCCCCGTTCGGACTTTGACTTCTTTTTCTAGTTAGCGGGACTGCAACGCAATAGAATAGCTAGTTATTTGGTCTTTGGTCGCAAGTCTTTGTTCCGCTCGCGGTCTAAATGATCTCGTAACCGCTTCGAACCTAGGAAATTTGGCGATGGAGCTGGCACAAACATGGATCCTTCAAAAGTAGAATTATTGCTCGAGCAGCATCTAAAACTAATGCAAATTTTAGCAGATGCAAAGTTTACGCCTAACATGCAACCAAGCACTTCTAACACTACTGCTACTGCACCGTTAGTTGATGGTGTTGTGAATAGTATCTCAGAGTTTCATTATGATCTTGATTCCAATGTCACATTTGATATGTTTTTTCGACGTCACGAAGACTTATTGAAATTTGATTTCGCTAATCATTTTAGTAAGCATTTCAACTAAATAAACTCCGATTATAGGTCTTATAAGGTTGCTAACGGTCCCAAGCACCGGTAAAGGAGGAGGCTTGGGCATGGGGTCACCAACCTCATCCCGTAGAAAACAGCCCTGCTAAAAAACACCATTCAGAAAGAAATCATTTAAACCATTCAAACTCTGTTCTGGGAATTGAAGGGCCTTCTTTTAGAGGAATTATGACGTCTCATGGTGAGAGCCGAGATTCTTCGGACGTCACGAGGCCGATTCCCCCTTCTGACAAACAGAGCGGCAATTAATATAGATACTTGGGATGTTTGGACAATGTGGGAGATCGGAACGACTGGTCAAATAGTTACGGAAACAAGTAGATACAACTTGGCGGTTCTCGGAATCAGTAAAACTTATTGAGCCAAAGCTGAATAAAAAAGGTTAGATACGAGAGAGATGCTGCCGCACTCTGGTCACGAAGAAGAAAATGCTCCGCACACTCAGTGAGTTGCACCGATACAGTCCAAAGAAGCACTTAAAGGATGGGAATCTCATGGATCCAGAACCATCACAACATTCTTCAAAACAAAGAAGGAGGAGGAACAAAACAGCTTCCAGATAAGGATGAAATTAGGAAGACATTGGATGTAGATACCTCATAAATTTCGAAAATCATCAAACTGCATCACGAGGCAGGCGCCAACTTGGAATCGTGAAGGCAGATTGCAAAGTGAAAAACCGAAGAACATATTGCGCAGAGAATTGGAAGCAGACATCAGAAGAATGAATAGTGCCTAGAAACAACAGGAAAGGAGAGACCAGGTCAAGTTTGTTTAGATATTCCTTGTCGGTGGCCGATGTTCCACTAGGAGTGACAGGTGTGAATCATTAGGCAATGTGTCATTTCAGTCAAATTACAATTGTTTATTATTTTGAGGTTGATTATCGTATTTTTAGCTTCATGATGATTTCTAATTAATTACCAGCTGTACTAAACTTATTTTTCCAAAGATGAACTCTGCTTAATCGTGAACACTTCTATTGCTTGTTTACTAAGAATGTTTAACATCGATTTCAGTTCCCAATCGTAGTACTGAACACTTGGTCTGAGTAATTCATTAAAAAAATCATTTTTTTATACTGAGATTATCCGTGCATATTTTGTTCAAAAACCAAGAATACTAATAAAAATAAAAATTTTAAACTTAATTTTTTGGAATAAACACGCTGCATTAATAACTCACACTACTTATTTTCAAAGTAAGTAGTAAAATAATGTTATCAATTAATTATACATTAATGTTTACTCATTATGAAATGCGACACAGATGGTAAAACGAGTACTAGCCAAGAAAGAACGCAAAGCAGAAATTGAAGCGATAACCAATGAAAATAAACTGATTCAAATGGAAGAAAATTTTTTTCAAGATTACGCAACCAGAGTAAGTTTGTTACAAAGAACAAAGAAGCAGACACTTGTTAGTTTACTTAATAATAATACTTGTTCTGATTATAGCTTTCACATAGACTCTGTGGTCATCATTATCGTGTTTACAGTTCTAGTAAAATATCTGTAGGAGAAATTAAGTCCAACACATAATGTTAGACAAAAGTAAGCATCTTTTCATGAACCCTGAAACGTATTAGAGGTACGAGGACGAATGTCAGCACACGGTAGCCGACATGAAGGAATAATTCTTCCCAATCTGTAACGTAGTTGAACTACTTGTAATCTCGGCGACCTTGAGATTGTGAATACACTGCCCTATGGAAAACTGCATAGAGTCAACCACACACGTCTTTTTAGAATTCGTTACCTCTGTAATTTTTAGATAATATGTTTAGAAATGAAAACCCACAGGTCATCTGACGTTTCGAAATACTGATTACATTCGGCATACAAACGCAAACAAGTAATTTGAACTTTCCTTCTTCTTAAAATATAATTGACTCCGTAAATTTAAATGTTTTTAGAAAGTACTTATGATTTATCAATCTAGGATAGTTTTTTTCTGTAAGTATATTATTTTATGGTCAACTTATTTTAGATTCGCTAATCTACCACTGTAGATATGAAGTTGATATGTGTAAATTAGGAGTCTTTGTTCATGCGAATCGTGAATTAGCAAGCCACCAGACAACCAATCTGGTAGCAATTTATAGATTTAGTAACTAGACTAATTTTACTGATAAAATCTTCATTTAATTCATCAAGCGTATTTTATCCGAATACTTTGTAAATAAGAGATAAACGTTATCTTCATCACTCCAACCCTCCACACACCTCTTTACAATGTAGTCAAAAATATAAATAATGAACGCCCGGATGAATGACAATAAAAGTAGTCAGAAAATACCCATAGTCCAACTGTCAATTCTTTACTTATTGTTTTCACCTAATGAGTAAGCTAACGCAGAATATGGTAATGATCGAACATTAAAAAGCTTTAAACAATGTCATAAGCTGGGTGAATAAAAAAATATTATGTGCCTGTGTTGACATTTCATCTTTAAGTCAAACAATAAGTGATGAATTGTAAAAAACAAGGCACACGACTAGAAGAAGTCGATCAAACACCTAATGAAGATATAAGTATATATGTCCCGGTCTGGATTGGAAGGACAATAGTGCATACATAGCTGTGGTTTGTATACATTATAATTCGGTTTAGTAATTAAACTTCGATGCTCATATCATTTTTCTCATCTGCGTAATAGGTTCGCTATACCGTAGGAGATGCAATTATAACAGTCGGACTACAAAATCAACACTTAGCATTTTATTGATCTGTTTAATTTCCAACAACATAAATTCTAGGTAATTAATCATTGTAAAGCGAACGGTCGAAATGTTTATCCATTGGAAAAAGCAACCCACACAAGATCAATGACTGGTCTAGGCACAGGTTTACCAGGAAAACCAAGTTTAGTGACCATTAATATGAATCATCCAACTGATGATCAACACAACAGTGATCAATCTACAAGTACGAATGATCAATGTTACAATAAAGAAATGCGTAACAATGCTATGTTAAATGGAAACTTGACAAATAAAAAAATAATACTAACGAGCGTTTAGGATTTGTTTGGTGAATATGTATTTATGTCTTTTATGAATTTATATTAATCTCTTGAAAATATGTACTCTTTTACAAAGTTATATTTATTTACTGGTTGAAGTAAAGATAAGTATATCTGATACGTTTTCACTTTAAATGAACAAACGATGAGACTGGTTAGATTTTACATTTCAGAATCGAATTTGGGTGACATTCATAGTGATCAGAATACTTGGCTTCCAACTAGCAGGTTGTATATGCAAGCCCCGCCACACTTAAATAGGTTTTGGCAAATGGACAATACTATTGATCCCCAAAAAGAATGTGTTTGTGCCCCAAGGCCGAGACTATATAAATCTGCTTTGATGGAGTTAGCTAATCAGAAGTAGCCAAAGGGGAAGGTTACTGGCTTTCATAACTTGTAGTCTGTAACCTTGGTTCTTTGTTTTTCACCCCGTCGTCAATTGTTATAACGCTCGGTTTTATTTCGCCTAATGTTATAACGGTTGGGTTTCCACGTTTACATGTATGGGACGTTAATTTACCTTAAAAGATTATCTACACTAGATTCCCTCCCAGTGTCTATTCTGCAGGACGTCAATACAACTCAGATCAAGAAAACGTGATTAGCCTGACCACAACGTAAATATATTTCCACACCAAAAACCCGACACAACCCAACAACAATGAGGAATCAATAATGAGTCACGATAGTAATAAGGATAGGGAAATATATAACTCATCTGACACCTGTTAGACCATCTACATATGTCTGACTAAGCAGACAACCAATCATTCTCGCCCACACATCACTTGCTGACAGTCTGAAGTGGCCAGAAGGACAACTACATATCATTGCCAAGGAAATGAATTTATTTTCTAAGGAGTAGAAATGTATGTATATAAACGTGTATATATTCATATTATTCAGTAGTTCAATAGACTTTTTCTCCCACTCGTCGATTTGAGGGGTTAGCGCGTAGCAGGTTGTGCATCAGATTCAGATCTCGGATATCGCCCACCACAACACTTTAATAAAGGGACGCCATCATTAGCAATTACAAAGATAAGGGGAACCCATTTTGTACGATAACACACTTGAGTTCATTGCTCTGGTTCAGTCATCAATGGATTGGCCAACCAGTTATTCAAAATAAGGAGACTAATAATGTGTAGAAAGCTTTACTTTTCAGGCCAAATGAATACATAAGTCATATATATGTAATATTAGTCTTCTGACGACGAAGATACGTGGGCAGTGAATAGTCCGTCAACTCACAGTAAGCCCACCAACATTTGCACTAAGCACTTATCTTGTTTTTAGAACAGTATTTGGTCTATCCTGTTTGGTAGCAACATTTTATCCGCTTGAACTGTACCAGAATATTGAAGGCACCATTTTTCATTGAAAAAACACTAACTAGGCTTATGATTCATCAGTTTGTTGGCTGTAATGATGCCGTTTATGAAGGTCAGATTCAGTCCTTTAAATTACTTTCATTGAGATAACAAAATGATTCTGAATTAGGATATAATACTAGTGAGAAGACCATTATTGTTGTAGTCACACAATCAACAGGTTGAGTGGATTCTCAGTCTCCAGAAACTATCAATAGTGCGCAACAGAGAGAGTATTCAGACATATATTACTCCTTAGACTCTCAACTCAAGTGAGTAGAGAAGTGAGCTACCAGATCATAACGACACTCAGTTTACAATTCTTAATACGTACACTAATACTATGTTGATTTTATAGGATTTGTAATTAACTGGACTTTATGAATGGTTAAAGATATAACACAATAAACAAGCGAGCGTCTAGTAGCACAGAGTCAGCTTCAATTAATTTGAGATACCACGTGACAACTATCTAATCTCATTGTTGGTAACTGTCCCACTTCCGACATGTTTGGACCCATCAGTCAAAAGCATCTTGAAGTAAGCCACGATTAACTTGGTTATCATAGTTTAGTTGAAAGAGTTCTGTAAAGATTAGTTTGTTTTGTAGGGGTTCTTCTTCGTCACAAAGTGACCTCACTCAGGGTATCATTGGAAACCAGCACCTGATGAGGTCGTAGGTTTGTGCTTGTGGGATGGGATCTGTACTGTATAACAGTAATCAGCAGTCAGTCAGTCAGTTACAATGTAGGATCAGGCACATCGGTCAGGTTGCCATACCTCATTAGCACAGCAAGATGAACACCGGATTCATAGGAGTGGTTAGGTTAAAGGTGGTAATATATAGAAGAAAGATCGCATATAAGGATACAGTACCGGAATGTAGAATTAGTTCGTAGAAAGAAGGATATGAAGTGCTTTTAATCTCTTAGTTTAAGGGAAGTCAGGGAATGTATACATCGACGCCATTGTGACCGATTCTGAGCCATGTCACCCAGTCTCCAACCATCGGTTACGAAAGTCACACGGACCCCAACTAAGTAGTCTGCATCTACCAACATGGCTCAGACTAGAGGTTAGTGTCTTCAAGCACTGATGTCATGTTTTGGTTTGGCCGCCCCTAATTCTCTTCCAACCATCTCTAACACCCGTTAGCATTGCACGACGTGGTGATCGGTGTTCAGGAATACGTAACACGTGGCCCAACCATCTCAGTCGATGAAGATTCACAACTTCATCAACTGACTTACCATCATTCCCTAATACCCTACGTCTAACCTCACTATTACTTACCCAGTGATCCCAACAGACGCCAGCAATATTTCTAAGGCATCTGTGGTCAAATACTAGTAGCTTACGAGTGTCTTCTACTCTTAAAGGCCATGTTTCGCTGCCGTAAAGTAGGACAGAACGGACTGCCGCGCAGTATACTCGTCCTTTTATTGATAGACGGATATCTAGCCTTCACCATAGGTGACTTAAGTTGGCAAAAGCCAAGCGAGATTTTCGAATCCGTGCTGAGATTTCGTCAGACAGCAACCCATTAGGGCTGATCAGACTTACAAGATAAGTGGAGTTGTCAACGCGTTCGACTACTTCACTCCCTATCCTTAGTTCAGGTGTTGACGCAGGCCAGTCCTGAAGCAACAACTTGCATTTTGAGGGGAAGAAGCGCATTCCCAACATTCTGGCATTGTTGCTTAGTGCTACCAAAAGACTGCATTTTATCAGCGTCTTCACCAAACAGGACTATATCATCTGCGTATTCTAAGTCGATAAGTGGACCTCCTGGATGGAGATCAATACCCGAGAACTCGGTCGATGAGAAAGTTATTTCCATCAGTAGATCTATGATGAAGTTCTTATGCGTGAACAGGATAAAAATAATTACAAATCATAACTGTCACGCTTACCACAATACTCTGAACAGACTCGTACCCCCAATATCTGTGGCTCCCAGTGAAATTTATCAAGATTTTTACACTAGGTATTATGTATTGATTTAACTCAGTATGCTATCATTTCTTGGATACTAGCTGAGCTATTTCTGAAGAGTACTATAAATATAATTAGCTGTAAACCATAATTTCCTAATATGGTGTCTAGTGATAATGTCCAAACCGAATCAGCCGGAATGGGGTTCAAACCTAGTACCTAATAGTTGGAAGTTGATTAATACAAAAAAATTTTGATACCGTGTATAATAAACCCGATTATATATAAATCAACAATTATCCGTACTGAAATTTCGATAACCTGTAATATATACACGTAAATCGTACGTAGAAAGGACACCGATGAAATCGAACCCGTTTTAACTTCATACTTGGAGAAAACCGTCAATAAGATCTATCTATCTAAAGAACCAATAGAGTAATGGATATATAAATCAATAAGATCTGATTAACGCTATCCGATATAACTGAACTATAAGGGCAAAGTTGAGCAACGGCTCTGTGTGACCTTGGACCGTTATGACCCATTCGACCAATCAGGAAACAGCCAACATAAATGAATGTTTTATGTCAGAGCTGGGATCTAGGGGTTAGCGTATACAACTAAACATTTGAGACCGCGATTAAACTTATAAAGCAAAGGAAAAAAGCAATAGTCTCAACAGTAAATTTGTATTTGATAGAGTACATATTTAACTACAACTCAAATTATCAGTCCTTCAAAAATAAAAAGTGATTTTCAAGCTTCCGCCGCCAGCACAACTTAAGAGTAACGATTTCGCACTTTACGCCTCAAATCTTTATCGCAATCAGCAACATGAGCATAGAACTCATTTACATCCGGATCACACCATAAACCTCGAGGATTATGATAAACTGGGTAGTCAAACCAATGACCAATTTTCCAGCCTACAACATCACCCATTAAATTCTGTTCATATTCGCGATTTTTTCGTAATTGTTTCAAGTATAATCGTTCTTGTTCAGCTATAATGAAAGGAGCAAGAGCAATTCGACATTCTTGGTCTTCTCTATTAATTTTAGTTTGTTTTCCTTTCATATATTTGAGAACTTTAAAGCCCACATATGTTGAAGTATACAATGCGCCAAGTGTTATAAGACCTTAATAATTATAGAGATGCATTGATAAAAATGTTGTTTTAGTGGTTTACTATGACAAAAGGGTGTTTAAAAGGGGCTAAAATAATTTGTAATATGAATATGTATTCCTTTGTTGAAGCAGGAAGCAACTAGGAACAGTGAACTATACAGCATGCTAAAACAATTGTGATACAAAATCGAGGGTTATAAATATTTATATTGAAGATGGTGAGAGCTATGTAATTTGATAGATTGGATAAATGCATGTGGTTGATCAGGAAATGGCTTTCAACTTGTAAGTTGCTTTAACAACCATACTGAAGCATAACAACTGTGAGTTGTTCCTTTTAGATAAACAGGATTTGTAACAATGATACCCTCCCATAATGAAAAGAGTAGATGAAAGAAGTTTAATTCTAAGAATACCACACTACATCCTGTCCTATAGATTCTCATCGCCGGCTATGATATCTGAAAGTACAGAGCTAAAGAATCAGAAACTGCTTTTAGGAAGGATGAGTGCACTGGCCTGAAATAGTTGTCCCTTGCTCAATCTAGTCACTTTCACATGTCATCAAGATCATACCTAACGCAGTTGCATTTTTCAGGTCCTTCAAAAATAACTCTCTCTGTTAGACAAATATTCTCATAAATACAAAGTGTGGTGCGATAGTCCACAGACATAAAGTGATGTTAAGTATAATAGTTTTGCATAGTTTAGACAGAACTTTGGTAATATCTATCATGTACGACTTGTCGAATAGTCTAGAAGGTTTGGTTTGAAAATGCTGTTTGGGATAGGATTAAGGGGTTCATATACGGTACAGCAAAGATAAATAAGATATTGTTTATAAGTCTCTTAAGTTTTACGCATTATCCAGATTATTTTAAATGTTAATACTTAGGAAGTAGATTTGGTAAAATTAACATGATACCAATTAATCATAGTAACTATTAATCGTTGCTTCAAATTAGTGAGAAGGATTTACGAATTATTTTTATGGATGATTAAAACAGATCGGGATCTTATAAGATAGTTGAAGTCCGAGTTTCGTGAAAGCTTTAAAGAGAATAGGCTGGTGATATTACGAGCCACTAAACTAAGAAATATTAAATACTGAATTCTAAAGGCATCCATGCTTAGCAACATTAGTACATTTTAACTTGCAATAAGTATTTGGTAACCAGACGTATATTCTTTCTTGACTAAACTCCATATAAACTTGTTATATATTTTCCTTTTCTTATTGTACGACAAAAGAACCCTTAAAATTGGTATTTTTCACCTTTAATATGGAGCAAATGCTTGTTTTGTTGCACCTAGGTGTATAGGAATAGTATGCATTTTGTATCACCAAAGTGTAAAGTACATCTATAAAACTATCAAAACCCTGAGGTTGTCCTATACTCATATGGAGAAGTGAGCCCATGAAAACAGTTGAATTCATGTATATAGATATCTGCATGAACTATAGTGGTGTAACGTATGATATTAGATTTCATACAGCAGAACTTAGAACGACATATTACTCTCTACTACCTTTGACACTGTTGTGATGTTAATCTGACTATAAAAACTGGATGCAGGATGCTGTGTAAAGAGCTTTGATTTACGCTAGTAAAATTTGGTCTTTCTGAGTTAGGTATATTAAATACTGTGTTTTTAATAATCTATTCTCAAGTAATTCATTAGTTTCTGTGTTAACATTGTGTAACTAATCCGGAATCTTTGAAATGTGTTCAAAGATAATTAAAATCATGATCCAATATGTTAATAGATTTAAATACTACGCCCCGTTTACTACATGCATTTTATGTATCTTTCGAGGTGCCCTTATAATGAGTTTTATTTACTGACATTCGGACTATATGGAAACTCCGCCTGGAGTCCCTTCGGGGGCTACTGCCGGCCCCAAGCCCGGATAAAGGAGGAGGGTTGGGCATGGGGTTAGCGACCCCAACCCGTGGAAAACAAACTCGCTAAAAAAACGCTAACCAGAAAAAAATAGTCAAACCTTTTAAACTTTGCCCCGGGAGTCAGAAGGTCTTCATTTAGAAGAACTGTGACGCCTCATGACGAAAGCCGAATTTCTTCGGAAGTTACGAGGCCGATGCCCCTTCTGACAACCAGAACAACCATTTATTTAAGTAGATGGAATGTTCGTACAATGTGGGACACCGAAGAGCCCTCCAAATTGCCGCAGAAATGAGGAGATACAACCTAGAGGTGTTTGGGATCAGTGAAACACATTGGACGCGTTGGGCAACAACGACTAACTTCAGGAGGGCTTCTGTTATACTCCGGCCATGAAGAAGAAAATGCCCCACATACACAAGGAGTTGCATTGATGCTGTCCAAATAAGCACAAAATGCACTTATAGGATGGGAATCTCATGGACCAAGGATCATCAAAGCCTCCTTCAAAACAAAGAAAGATGACATTACAATGAACGTCATCCGACGCTATGCGCCTACCAACGACTACAATGAAGATTTTAAAGATAGATTATATGATACGCTGCAGTCAATCATCGAGATGTGCCCAACAAAGGACCTGACCATTCTGATGGGAGATTTCAATGCCAAGGTTGGAGCGGACAACACTGGATATGAAGACATCATGGGACAACACGGACTGGGAGAAAGGAACGAAAGTGGTGAGAGATTTGCAAACCTATGTGCCTTCAATAAATTGGTCATAGGCGGCACCATATTCCCACATAAAAGCATTCACAAAATCACATGGACCTCACCGGACCACACCACGCAAAACCAAATCGACCATATTTGCATCAACAAAACGTTCAGGAGGACTATAGAGGACGTGAGAACCAAGAGAGGAGCTGATATAGCCTCAGATCATCACTTGCTGGTCGCCAAGATGAAATTGAAACTTAAAAAACACTGAACAACGGGGCGGACAATATCACAAAAGTTCAATACGGCCTTTCTTCAGGATACTGACAAACTCAACAAATTCAAGATAGTCCTCAGCAATAAGTTCCAGGCCCTTCATGATCTACTCAATGGAGAAGGAACTGCTGTGGAGAGCAACTGGAAGGGGATCAAAGAGGCAATCATTTCAACATGTCATGAGGTCCTGGGTCACAAGAAGCACCATCACAAGGAATAGATCACTGTTGATACACTGGATAAGATTCAAGAAAGGAGGAACAAGAAAGCAGCAATCAATACCAGCCGAACAAGAGCAGAGAAAGCCAAGGCACAAGCTGAATACACAGAAGCAAACAAGCAAGTGAAGAGAAGCATCAGAAATGACAAACGTAAATATGTGGAAGATTTAGCAATGCCAACGGAAAAGGCTGCAAGAGAAGGAAACATGAGACAACTGTATACCATAACAAAGGTACTTTCTGGAAATCGCCGCAAACCAGAACGACCAGTGAAAAGTAAGGTAATCACCAACATTGAAGAGCAACGAAACAGGTGGGTAGAGCACTTCAAAGAACTCTTGAATCGACCAGCCCCACTGAACCCACCCAACATTGAAGTAGCACCCACGGACCACCCAATCGATGTTGGCCCACCAACAATTGAAGAGATAAGCATGGCCATCAGGCAAATCAAGAGTGGCAAAGCAGCAGGACTAGACAACATTCCAGAGGCACTAAAAGCAGACGTAGCGGCAACTGCAATAATACTCTACATTCTCTTCAATAAGATTTGGGATGAGGAACAAGTACCAACAGACTGGAAAGGACTTCTGATCAAAATACCGAAGAAAGGTGATCTCAGCAACTGTGATTATTATTATTATTTGAACACATGAATATTGGTACAAGAGAGCGCCAATATATATGCGCCACACAAAACAATGAGAATTCGAAGAGAGATAGAAAAAAAAACTAAGGAGCACAAAAGAAAAAGAGAACGATAACGAAGAGATTGGTGTAAGGTAGTGTGGTCGTAACGATGGAACGGAAAGGTACAATCAGAAGAAATCTTTCAAGTAAGGGAGACACAACCACTTTTTATGAAGAAAGTAAAAGAAGGTTACAGCAGGATCGCCACTGGCTTCTATTCTGAGCCATATCTGATAACGTCTCTAGCCACTGTGCAGCACCATCTCTCAGACCCCAACCAGGGAGTCGTGAAGGACCGACAGAAGCCAGTCCTTTGCAGCTTTCTTTCATAACACGACACCATGTCATGCACTGACCACCTCTCCGCTTCTTCCAACCAGTCCCAGAGTCGGAAAATAGTGTACGACGTGAAATTCTCTGGGACGACATTCGTAGAACATGTCCAAGCCACTGAAGTCGGTGTTTCAAGATGTTGACATCGATTGCATTATCATCTCTGTGCCCAAACACACGATGCCGAACCTCTGCATTACTGACATGGTGTTGCCACTGAATGTCAGCAATCGTTCGGAGACAGCGATGATCGAACACAGAGAGTCGTCTAACGTCCTCAACTCGGAGAGACCAGGTTTCACAAGCATAGAGCAAAACTGCTCTCACAGACGCGTTGTAGATCCAACCTTTTACAGCCAGACTAACATCACGAAGGCACCAAAGGTGGCCCAGATTGGCATAAGCCGCTCTGGCTTTCACTATACGTGCATTGATCTCATCACTCACACCTCCACCAGCACTTATGCAGCTGCCCAGATACACGAACTTCTCGACTACTTCTATCTGCTCACCATCCAGGGTGAGTACAGGATTGGAATCCTGCCAGTCTTGTAGAAGTACTTTGTACTTCGAAGTTGCAAAGCACATACCATACCTACGGACACTTAGCAACTGTGATAACTACAGGGGCATCACTCTTCTCTCAATACCGAGAACAGTTTTCAACAGGGTATTGTTAAACAGGATGAAGGACTGCGTAGACGCCCAACTTCGTGACCAACAGGCAGGATTCCGTAAGGATAGATCCTGTACAGACCAAATCGCAACTCTACGGATCATTGAATGGAATTCAACACTACATCGATTTCATTGACTACGAAAAAGCATTTGATAGTGTGGACAGAAGAACACTATGGAAGCTTCTTCGACACTACAGTGTACCTCAGAAGATAGTCAATATCATACAAATTTCATATGATGGACTACACTGCGAAATCATGCACGGAGGACAGTTGAAAAAGTCGTTCGAAGTAAAGACCGGTGTCAGGCAAGGTTGCTTACTCTTACCCTTTCTCTTTCTCCTGGTGATCGATTGGATCATGAAGACGTCAACATCTGAAGGGAAACACATGATACAGTGGATATCTAGGATGCAGTTGGACGATCTAGACTTCGCACATGATCTGGCTCTTCTATCCCAAACGCGACAGCAAATGCAGGAGAAGACGACCAATGTAGCAGCAGCCTCAGCAGCAGTAGGTCTCAATATACACAAAGGGAAAAGCAAGATTCTCCTATACAACACAACATGCACCAATCCAGTCACAATTGACGAAGAAGGTTTGGAAGATGTAAAAACCTTTACATATCTAGGCAGCATGATTGATGAGCAAGGTGGATCTGCTGCAGATGTGAAAGCGAAAATCGGTAAATCAAGAGCAGCATATTTACAACTGAAGAACATCTGGGACTCAAAGCAACTGTCAACCAACACAAAGGTCAGGATTTTCAATACAAATGTCAAGACAGTTCTACTGTATGGGGCGGAAACCTGGAGAATTACAAAAGCAATCACCCAGAAAATACAGGTGTTTATTAACAGTTGTCTACGCAAAATACTTCAGATCCGTTGGCCGGACACTATTAGCAACTACCTACTGTGGGAGAGAACAAACCAGATCCCATTGGAGGAAGAAGCGCTGGAAGTGGATAGGACACACATTGAGGAAAGCACCCAACTGCGTCACAAGACAAGTCCTCACATGGAATCCTCAGGGTCGAAGGAAAAGAGGAAGACCAAAGAACACATTACGCCGGGAAATGGAAATACATGAGAAAAAGAAACAAGAATTGGATGGAATTAGAAAAGAAGGCCCAGGACAGAGTGGGTTGGAGAATGCTGGTCTGCGGTCTATGCTCCATTAGGAGTATCAGGTGTAAGTAAGTAAGTAGGGACTATGTGGAAAAAATTATAGGTGATCAGTTTAGATCATGGCATCATGAAATGAATGATTTATGCTCTAACTTGGCACTGATGAATTTCTTGAAACTTTTGATGTGACGTCTAAAATACCATACAACTTGGCAACTTCAGATATTATCAATCGTATCCTAAATTGAAAGGTAGTGACTAGCAAGATGGATGTTTTACAGTGCGATTCAGGTCAACAGTAAGACATAACTTCTAAATGAAAAAAACCTGCCGTAATTACATTTTTATTTGTATTCTTTAGCAGAGATTATTTTTCTCATTCATTTTTCACCCATAATTTCCCCTATGATCCCCTTACAATATTGTCGTTTTACTTTATATAGCACTTTCTTCGTATTCTGTTGCACCATGCATTTTCATTTCAAATAAAATAAGCCTGGTGACGCCTGAGAAGCCCAAAAAGAGTTTAAGAGTTAGTTGATTCAATGTTGGATCGAACTTTTTTTTGTTACAGAGTAGTTTACCAGTGATATTGGCCTCTCTAAGACATCCGCAAAAAAATATTTAGTTTGTTGAGACACTACAAAAGTCAATAAGCCAGTTGATTGGATACTATCAAAGCTAGAGACAGCTGGTAAGTGTTAGAATCAAAGTGAACATATGAAATGCTAATTTCGTTGTTAAGAAGCACACAGAATAACAGTAAAGATGTAGAAGTGGAATATAATGTGTTTTCTCCGACACATTATTCCCATCTTTACTTGCCTGCTGTAAAAGTATATATCACATGCTAGCCAGTAAATCCATTGATTGTGGAAAAATTCAGGTGGAAGAAACAAAAATTAGTACACCAAAAATGGCATACCGTGTACATAGCCTTTTGGCATTTTTCTTGAGACATCAATTGGAGCGAAACCTCCGGGAGGAGGCATTTCTTGTTTGTAACCAGGCATTATCTGGAAAGAAAAGTTAATATGTAGATTAACATCAAACGATGATACAAGCCCAATTATTGATCATAATGTAATAAATGAATGGCGTGTCAGAAAAAGATTATAGAGGTAGCAAAAGTGAACGACATATTAGATTCCTAGTATCTGCAGACAGTAGGTTATTTATATGGTTATATCGTTACTGTCGTACTGTCTATATTTTGAAACGGGAAACACTAAAATTTCCATGACGCAGTGACAACACGGAAGATTGGTACAAACTAAGACTTATCGACAATCCAAAAGCACATTTCCAAAACATAATGTCCTTAAACCCAAAATACACTCATTTATATATTGATTTTACATACACTTACTGATTAGCTAATAAATATTACATATAAGAACACATATTTACTATAAAAACATATATGTAGCTCATATTGAATCAATACAACGAATAAAATAGTCACATTGGACCAATTTTATAATAAATTGATACAAAAAATAGTAAGCAAAGTTATACCACCTTTTTATTCCGCCATAACAGTTTTTAAATGTACATAGAATGGAAATGCTTGTTAGTTGTACGAATGAGAACCTCACAGTGTGATACTGTCTGGGTGTTCAGACCGGAGCAAGTGGTTTTCTTATGAGGCCACACCCCGAGCCTTCGATCTAAAAGTCTAATCCACACGGCAGTGAACCAACATAGAGGTACAGCCTCCTGGTAGCAGGTGACCAACAATAGGTTCATACGCCATTTGTTCCCCCAGAATCCTGACTCGTGTGTACCACTGGTTTATAACCAGGGTTTTCCAACTCCCCTCAGCGGATCCTCCATATCCACTAATCCACTTAGAGCACCGGAAATTCGCTTTTCGTCCTCTCAGTTTTGTAAACAACACCTCCTCCACGAGAAGGCAGTGAGTAGGACTTCCCTGGCAGTGGATATATACGCGTGGCCATATGAGAGCATTTCGAGAGGGAGAGCGGACTGTCCCTACTTTTGGCAGTACCAGACCATTCAGGAGTGGTAAGTGCTTTATCACAAAGTAGGATAAAACCTACTACACACTAGAAGAATATATACACAGGTTATATAGCTAAGCTCCTAAAACATGATACACACTCAACAGTTTCCGAGCTGGAATTTAATTTGGTACTTGAGAGTACATTTACTCCACCCTCAAATTCATTCATAATTTGCGACATCTCAAGTGGCAGCAAGTACCTAAAAGTTCTACAAATCTAACGATTCTGAGGTCTTCTACATCAATGCGACGACCTATCACCCAACTACAAATCGTCTTCCGAAGAGATCTCAATAGCTCAAAAACCTGCTGTTAAACAATTGATACTAATAGGCAACTGATTTACAAAAAAAAATACAGCATTGGTGGTACAGCAGAGTAGCTAGTTTATGTATGGATATGGCACAAACGGTTAGTGTGGATGAAGATTTGAATTAGATTTCCACATTCAAGTCACCTAATATAATTGCTATGTCAACTGGAAAGTATGTTTTCACCACATTCTAAACAAACTAACAAGCACTTAGTTTCGGAAAACTTCGCTTTGCTCGCATTGACTCAGTTCTTAAACTATATGAAAGGCCGTCTTAAGTATTTGATGGTGCTGAGTTTTTAACTGTTAAAAACGTTGGTAAGAATGAGACCATCTCAAAAAGTCGCTTGAAGCTAGCATCTTCCAAACCAATGGTACAGAGAGTAGTCAGGATTCTGAGGGAACAAATGGCGTATGAACCTATTGTTGGTCACCTGCTACCAGGAGGCTGTACCTCTTTATGTTGGTCCACTGCCTTGTGGATTAGAATTTTAGATCGAAGGCTCGGGATGTGGCCTCATAAGAAAATCACTTGCTTCGTTTCGGGCACCCGGACAGTATCATGGCCCACACACAAATCGAACGATTTATGTGGAGCATATTTACTTGGTGCCTCCTTGTACTAATGTTTATGTGTTTAAACAAATAAGTAGCTGTACGACGCAACATATTAGACTAATCAATATCCCCAAATGCTTTAAAGCATTAACTGTACAATGTACAGTTAAGTGACTGTTTGTGCTAGTAATTGTAAAGGTATTATACACTGAACGCCAACCATTTGTTATATATGTATTCATATATATTTGAGAAAAATAATATCATACTAAATAAAAATATATATTTATTAAATTACTGATGAGTGGAAGGACTTTACACGCAAGGTCTCATCAAGCCAACAAAAATCGTAAAAGGTGTTAGACTGAAGCTATGTGTCTTAAATTTGGTTTTGTCAACAAGAAAAAAGTCTGTAAGGTCTGATTACAGTAACCCAAACTAACGACCCTGAAATCAGACGTCCCTCCTATAAGTGAAGACCCTAAATTGGCAGTACCTATGTGGTAACCTAGTTCAAAATGGTTCAAATGGTTGTGGACGGAATAGAAGAAGCTTTCGCTTAACAGACTTCCGTGTCTAGTAGCAGGGGATCACCAAATCCTCCAGGCAGGAACCTAGGTATGTTAACAATAAAAGAGGAAAAGAAATTGGTAAATCATAGTATGATACTGTCCTTGGTCCTTAAGAATAGGTCAAGTTGCCTCTTGAAGGACTCCTGAGAAGTCGCTTGGACTAGCTCGGCCGGCAGCGAATTCCAGCTTTTGACAACTCTTAAGGAGTAGAAGTTGTGTCTACATCCCGCCTTGCTATGTTGAGTTTCCAGTTTCTGGGTGTTACCCCTTAGGTTAGTATTCGAACTAAGCTTGAGTAGGTGTTTAAGAGGATGTCCAGAAGTGTTAAGAATACTATAAGCCATTAATAAATCACCTCTAAGACGCCTATACTCTAATGGGTAAAGGTCTAGTGAATGGAGGCGTTCTTCGTAAGGCTTAGATTTGAGTCCGCGAACTGATTTCGTGGCTCGCCGTTGGATACGCTCCAACGTGACGTTGTCCTTTTGGAGTGAGGGGGGAGTACTATATTTCCGTACTCTAAATGGGGACGGATAAAACTATTGAAGATTGTATGGAAAGTTCTTCCGTCAAACTGGCCGAAAATGCGCTTCAATGTTACCAGAGCAAGGTTTGCTCGGAAGGCATTTTTGTCACAATTAACGTAAGACTTTAAATCATGGGGCACCAGGACTCCTAAATCTTTTTCGACTTGGGATACTACTAGAGAGGAATTTCTTAAGTTATAATTGTAGTCTGTGACATGTCGCAGATGGACTACTTTACACTTTGAAGTGTTAAAGGTAAGTCCGTTATCATCTGCCCAACTTTGAAGTCGAGTCAGATCCTCCTGAAGTGCCTGTGTATCGTCTTGGTTGCGTATCTCTCTCCAAAGTTTCACGTCATCGGCAAAAAGTAATAAATGTGACGTTACCTGTTGAGGAAGATCGTTTATGTAGATCAAGAAGAGGCCCTGGGGAACCCCACTAGGACATTCCATAGCCTGAGATAAAGTGAAATTAACCCTAACCTTAAAGTGTCGATTTTCTAGGTATGAAGTAAGCCAATCGATTAGAGGTGGTCTGATACCCAATCGTTTGAGCTTATTGATAAGACACAAGTGGTTAACTTTATCAAAAGCTTTTGAGAAATCAAGGTATATGATATCAACCTTTCCCTTGCGATCGAGGATGCTTGTCCATCTGTCCACCGCAGTCAGCAGGTTGGTTATACAAGAGTAACCCTTCCTGAAACCATGCTGTTGGGGTGAGAAGAAGTATAAGGACAGTAGATAATCGTTTAAACCATCGCATATCAGGGACTCCATGAGTTTTGAAGGTAATGACAGAAGAGCCACAGGCCGATAACTTGAAGGTTCATTGCGTCGACCCCCTTTGAAAATTGGTGTGATGTGAGCCAACTTCCAATTTTCCGGTAGTTTGCCTTGGCTTAGCAAGTGTGAAAACATCACGCTAAGCGGCGTTGCCAGGATTGAGGCTGCCTCCCTCAGTATGGCAGAATGAACCATATCCGGGCCAGGAGAAGTATCTAGTCTTAAGTGCAGCAGTTTCCGAAACACCAAGTCAGCGCTTAGGTCCACTTCGGAAAGCCCTGTGGAATTACAGGTGAAACTGTCGTCAATAGAGTTGATGTCAGCCGGCTGAAATGTTTGAGAGTAATGTGCCGCCAGAAGGTTAGCGGCGTCACCATCGTTGTTGGTTGGGCCGTTAAGACCTAGCAGTTGAGAAACTCCTGTTTTGGCTTGACGAAGAGAGGCTGCATAACGGAATAGGCTTCTAGGGTTCGAGGCAAATTTGTCCATAAGCTTTGTCTGATAATGAAGCCTGTCTTCTCTTATAGCCTCGTGCATATGTTCCTGATATGTTTGAGTTGCCTATACGCTCCGTCGTTGTCAGTTCGTTTGTATTCCGCCCAACAGTGCCTTTTACGGCTTAGCAGGCGAAGGTTACGGTTCTTGATTATTGTAGGTGGCTTACAGCTTTTGGGAACCGTTTGAGGAACTGAATGGTTTGTAGCATATAAGGGCGTGTGCAGTGAGAAGTTCCAGTGACCGTCCACATCGAGTTGGGGGTAAACATCCCAAACCACCTGTTGTAGATAGTCGTGTAGAGCTGGCACATTCAGCCGTTTAAAATTCCAACGCAAATTATTGTTGGGATACCTTAGCTTAGTTTTGGTGACAAAACTGAAGGCTATGACGGCATGATCGCTCTTTCCCATAGGAGCCAGGATTGAGAGGTTGTCAACTAGGAATTCTTCGTTTGTGAATACACAGTCTAACCGCGATGGTGTCTGACTGTTTCTCCAACGAGTTGCCGACGTCACATTTTCATATAAGCCCAAGTCATCGATGAGGTTGAAGAACCGAGCTTCAATTGAGTTGTCGCCTCCAGTATACGTGTGTTCCACGAAGTTGACTCTAGGAAGGTTAAAGTCCCCTAGAATCAGGATATGTGTGAAACCGAGACGGGTAGAGCGGGATAGTCCATCCAGCATACGACTATCGTACTCGATGTCAGCAGTTGGCTTCCTGTAAATGACACCGACTAGACACCTCGAAGTGCTAGACAATCTTACAGAGCACCATATGGATTCCTCAAGATTGTTAAACTCGAGGTTGTGAACTTGATGCACCTCCAAGCAAGAGCTTATGTATATGGCTACTCCACCCCCAATTCCTGTTGTTCTGTCGTTGCGGAACAAAGTCATCCCTGGTAATGCTAACTCATGGTCCGAGAACTGAGAAGATATCCAGGTTTCAGATATTCCTATCAGGTGGGCCTTATTAGCGTTGCAAAGTTCACGTAATTCATCCAGTTTGTTTGGTAGACTCGAGGCGTTCGTATATAAGCAGTTTATGCTTTCAATTTGGAACGCGTGAGCTTCGTCCTGTTTTTCTGTATGAACCTTATGTGAATGGACAGGTAGCCCACCCATGTGAGGTTTACCGAGGTGGTAGGCCCTGTCCTTTACACGTTTTTTTATCGTTTAGACAATCCACAAATGGAATGGTCAGCTCCAACTTGCCTTTGTGCTTGGTCCTGGCCTGTCCGGGTGCATGTGGATTCCAGGTGGCAATCGACGTCTGTTGGCACGAAATGCTTCCAGAACTGCAGCCGCCATGTGGGAAGATGGGAAGGTTATCTTCATTAGACGAGGTCTAAGATCAAAGTCCTTCTTGGCTAATCTCGTCACATGCTGAGTCAGTATGTGTTTGAGCCTCAAGGACTGTTTGATGAATTTCCATTCCCTGATGTCAGAATTTGATTGAGTAGGGTCTTCATTCTCCGGTATACCTTGCACAATTATGTTTCTTCCGCGGAAAAACTTCTCACGAGATTCTTTAGGGATGTTACGTATGATATTGCGCTCAGAGAACGGTATATCGGGCAATATTCTTACGTTACCATCTGATTTCAGCAAGTGACTTGCTAGTAAGACGTCCTCAACATCAGTAGCATTCTTAAGTGATACTCGGAGAAGCCTTGGGTGATTTAGATGCTTAGAGTCCTTTCCTCTAGAGAGCCGGGTGACCATCAAAGGCTCTATTCTAGGAAGTTCTAGCTTCTTGTTCAATTCACCCCAGAGCATCCTGTCGTTTTTGTACTGCAGACTGAGAGGAAGGTCAGGATTATCAACGAGGTTCATGATAATGAGAGAGTCGTCACGAACTGTTGTTAATTTACCAGGTTTCACGGCGGATTCATGTTTAATGACTTGCTGTTTGGAGGTCAGTGTGCGTTTATGAGGCTTGGGCTCTTTTTTGAACGGACGAACAGTCTTGGGAGTAGACTGTGCGACCAAATCACCAGTTAATTTCTGTACAGCAACACTTGAGTTGTTCGGCTTAGGCAGTAATGCCTGGTTCTTTTGGGCTTTCTTAACTTGGGTCGAATCACCTACAGGGTTTTTGGGAACCACTGTTGAGTTCAGGGACCCTGAGCTGGGAGACCCGAGTTTGCTTAAAGAGTCTAATACCTTCGACGTAATGATGGTGCTGAGCCTCGACACGTCATCATTAGTGTTGATGGATGCTCCATCGATGGTATACCTATCGACATCCCTGTTTTTGTATCCGTCGCACGCTCTTGTTTGTCTACCGGTTTTCTTACTGTCGTTGTCCAATTTAACTGACAACTTGTTCCGAAGACCTTTCAGTAGGACAATGATGTTACTCAGCAAAACTACAGCATCCGTGGTGCACGTGACACATACCCATTTTGGGTCTGACTTGCTGAGTCT